TCTGTTTAGAACAATATATTTCAAACATTTCCACATTCACAGTTTTACAAATTTCATGGGCAAATGTTCCCCTTCCAAGAGTAAGCTCAGGTGTTTTATTACATGTAGAAAGAAGTTCCCAGAAAAATCAAAACTGTTAATTAGAGGCTGTTAATAAGCAAGTGGGCTTATGTATTTATTTTATGTTGATTTAATTTCAGATGGGAGTGGGTAGGGAGAAGCAGAAAATCAAACGCGACTTATATCATCACCTTTTTAAAAAATAATTTTTTTAATGTTTATTTTTGAGACAGCATGAGCGGGGTTGGGGCAGACAGAGAGGGAGACAGAGTTGCTGAAGCAGGCTCTGTGCTGACAGCAGAGAGCTCAATGTGGGGCTTGAACTCACAAACTGGGGGATCATGACCTGAGCCGAAGTTGGAGGCTCAACCAACTAAGCCACCCAGGGGCCCCTCTCTCATCACCTTCTAAGAATAACCTTTTCTCATAGACTCAGGGTGAAAAAGATAATAAATGTTTGTCTTTTATAAATCTGTTTCTCTTATTTGTTAATTCTCCTAATCTCGCTCATTGTTGGCCAGCTCTGATAGGAGACAGGATCGCTATTCCAAAGCAGGTGCTCAGGGAAGACACGGAAAACAGGAAGAAGGGAAAGCACCCATCCTCTGAACACTTCCGTTGGATGACCCACATTTCTGTTGTAAGAATATTTTAAGCCAGTGGTTGCCAGCCCTGCATTCCTGGGGCCACAAAGAACTATTTAATTAATTTTGGTTAAAATATTTTCTTAACAATGGGGCGCCTGGGGGGCTCAGTTAGTTAAGCGTCCAACTTCGGCTCAGGTCATGATCTCCCAGTTTGTGAGATCGAGCCCCGTATTGGGCTCTGTGCTGACACAGCTCAGAGCCTGGAGCCTGCTTCAGATTCTGTGTCTTCCTCTCTCTCTGCCCCTCCCCCACTAGCGCGCGCGCGCTCTCTCGCGCTCTCTCTCTCTCTCTCTCTAAAATAAATAAACATTAAAAAAATATTTTCTTAACAAAACGTAATATCTAATGAAAGCCAAGGGGTGGTGAAATAGACCCCATCACACATAGCAGCTTGTTATTAGAACAAATCTTTTGAAAAGAAAGTTGATGATTAAGTACCAAGTCCTTAAATGTTTGCACTCTTTGGCCTGGGAAGTCTCTTTCCATCTTATTGGGGAAAACAGAAATGTGCACAAAGGAACATGTCACAGTCTTATTTTATAACAGTAAAAAAAAAAAAAAAAAACCACTGGGAATAACTTACTAACATGAGAACAGTTATATGCACTATGGTGTATCCACCAGATGGATGGAGCCTCAGGTCAAAACCCGAGCATAAAAGCATACATACGACCTCATTTAAAGTATATATTTTTTTTAAAAGAAGCAGAATATGGGGGCACCTGGGTGGCTCAGTGGTTAAGCACGCAACTCTTGATTTTGGCTCGGGTCATGATCTCACAGTTGTGAGTCTGCTTAGGATTCTCTCCCCCTCTCTCTGCCCCTTCCCCGCTGGTGCTCTCAAAAAAACAAAAACAAAAACAAAAACAAAAAACAAAAACCCCCAGCAAAATATGAAATCACAATTCCAAAGGTTGGGAAGGAAAACATGCCCAATTTTGGTAGCGATAAGCTTTCGGTGACAGGATTTTGAGTGGCTTTTCTTTCTTTTCACTTATGTTATTGTTAGGTTCATCATAAGGACCATGGAATGTAAGTTGTCTAATTAGCAAATCATCACCACCGTGTTTTATATGTAAACAGACAGAGATGCCAGGGGAAGTCTTTTTGGTTTGGGAGAGGGTGGAGAATGGGATAATTAAGATCAAAGTTACGGTAAATTCTAGCAGCTCCCAGCAAGGAAGGGGTGGGTTGGTGGGAGCGCCCTCCGTTTCACACTGTCCTGCACAGGCTTGCTGCTTCTTCCCCGGGGTTTCCTGTTCCGCGGGGAGAGCAGGAGATGAGTTCCTTCTCCCAGGGGCTCTGACATCCCGAGTGGATGCTTCCACTGCTGTGCATTCACGATGCATATTTTTAAATATGCCATGAGGATTATTTTCTAAATGAAATGACGTTTTCAAAATATCTCGCATTTGTTAGGCACTTTCTAGGCACAGGCACTGTTTCGGTCCTTTTGATATCCAAATTTCACGTTTTCTCAGGCGTGGGAAAGTTCTTAGTAAAAGGAACTATTGTCTCCTTTCTTTTTCACCTCCTGTTCCTTCTCCTACCCACACAGGGAGTGGCTCTTGGGGATGTAAGTGACTGGGATGAAAGGAGAAACGGGGCAGACTGGGCTGCCCTTTGTTATAAACAGAGCCTCCTCGCTGCCCGAAGTGTTGACTGGAGAAGCATCTCCAGGTAGACGGGACAGGAAGGCTCTGGAAAGAGGGCACCAGAAAACCTCACAGCCCTTCTCCCTGTGATGTGGCTCATTTGCTTTACAGGCTTCGGGCATATTTGCTGATGTCAGCAGCCCGTCAAAGTTTAAAATAATAATAATAGTGAAAAGGAAAACAGCCCCTTTCTGCCAGGCAGTCCTGTTCTGCCAACTTCTGTATTCTCTTTTGAGTTAATAAACGTCTAAGAACCACCTCCCCTACCACTCTGAGGGATTAAAAAAAAAGGGGGGGGGAGGAAAAAAAACACAATAATTTTAAAACCACCAGGTCAGCCCATTGCCAGCAGAAGCCATTCAGACAAGCAACGTCTGTCACCCTCTAAAGAGGATTGTGCCTCTGCCTCAAAAGGGAAGCTATCATTAGGCTTTGTGTTTATGAGATCAAATGATCATCTAGGGGGCAGTGGCCCTCTTCCGGTCCCTTCCCCATTTCAGTCACGCTCAAGAACAAATGCGTAGACGTTTTCCGCATCAGGCGAAACTAAAACACCGTAATTACGCCAGCTAATGTCTTCCGAAAACATCAATTAAGAAAATGGCCTTTTAATCCCCCTTTTCCTTGAAAACCTGCGACATCCACGTGCATTGTAACGGCAAGGGGCAGGGGAGGGCTGGCTCCCCGAAGGAAACAGCTGAAATGGTTGGAGGGCGGTCAGGTGAGCAGGTCCCCGCTGGTGACCAGCAGACGCGACCTCTCCAAGGAAAGAAACGTCTCTCTACAGCAAGACCTCTGACGTTATCTTCACGTGCAGTGTTGAAACCAGAGCCAGCCCCTGCATGGTTGGGCTGACACGGGCTTCTGCAAACCACACACACACACACACACACACACACACGCCATTGTTAATACCTCCTCAGGACAGATTAGATCCCACATTCCTCAGAAGCACTGGGCTCCAGAGGGAACACTGCCAACAGGCTCCTTCCACAGGCCAACAACTAGCTACAACTGATAAGTTTTCATTGAAATAACTGCAACAATTACCCTGAGTCCCCACCAGGGCTCTGTCACCGGGCTGTTAGGAGAGAGGTGTTGTGCTTGTATCTCCTGGCGGCTGCAAAGGCAAGAGCCAGAGTCATTCGAGTTGTCTTCGAGCTCACTTTTGTATGCTTTTATCTATGGCTACGTGCCACGGTTAATCAAACTGCTCACCCAAGGTGTACTATTAGACTGACTTCTTTTGTTTTCTTTGGGGGGCCTTATCTAGTAAGCCTGGATACTTGCCCTCTCCGTTTAGGCTTGGACAAGTAACTAATTAATCTCTGACCAAAGATACTGAAGGTTGGCTTGGGTGGGGGTAAAACACCTTGAGGTCATGGTTGGTTTTAATCACACAGCTTAGTTCAAAAGCTGAATGCTAACAAAGATCTTGGCTTTCAAGTCTTAGTTTCAACCGGCGTGCTCATTAAATAGCAAATTTAGTTGTACTGAACTTGGCTTCTGCAACTTTCCTCCTAGTTTTCTTGGAGGAGCAGTGATTGAGTGGATGAAGCGGCAACATGAATGAAAATTAAGGACGGCACAGGTACCTGTGCGGGAGCAAATCCCGAAGGGCCTACATTAAGCTGTAACCAGGGATTAGGTGTCCCAGGATTCTCTATCATCTCAAAAGGGTTATGTTTGGCTTTTGTAATAATAAAAGGTCATTGTAGGGAAAGGATTCTATTTTACCATATACTGTATTTGCTAGGAGGAAATACGAGGCTAGGCTTCCATACAGCTCAGCCTTTGAATGAAAAGAAAAGATGGGGCACCTGGGTGGCTCAATCGGTTAAGTGTCCGACTTCCACTCAGGTCATGATCTCCCGGTTGGTGAGTTCAAGCCCTAAGTCGGGCTCCGTGCTGACAGCTCAGAGCCTGGAGCCTGCTTCGGATTCTGTGTCCCCCCTCTTTCTGCCCCTCGCCCCTCATGCTCTGTCTTTGTCTCTTAAAAATAAATAAACATTAAAAAAAGAAAAAAGAAAAGAAAAGATGAACAGTGTAGCAGATGGGTAAATCCCCCAATCTGCAGAAATGTAAAGAGCCAGGATTTGGGTGCCTGTGGGTTTTATCAGAGATGTAAGCAAGGCTGAGACGAACACCAGTGCTCTTTGGCTAGTTTTAACACGTTCACAGTCACAATTAACATTCAAGGAATTTCCTTCTCATCCAAGAGTTTCTTTTAAAAGCACTTTATGCCACAAACTAAAGTTCTAGCTGCCATCAGTCCTTCCCATACAGAAGATTGCTGAAATCTCCATAATACTTTTTCTTTTTTTCTGAAAATGGGTTCGGACCACGTCAGTTTCCCTGGGGCGACTGTTTTCCAATACGGGACGTTCTCACCTCCTCCCTCCTTCCTTCCCCTAAAAGAGCTTGGAATGGAGACCCGCCTGCCTCCTCCGGGCCTCCCCGTCCCGCACCCCCTCCACACTCCCTGGCCTGGCGGGTGTCGCCAGCCCTCCCCCCGCCCCGCGAAGAGCAATGCTACCTGGCAGGAGCTCCCCCGCCCACCCCCTGCCTGGTTTCGAGTCCCTGAGCCGGCCAAGGCCACTGCTTTCTTCGAGGAAGGGAGAAGCGTGGTCTACACCTCTTACACAAGAGATTCGCACACGGGCACCGAGTCCGAGTCCTGGCTGTGCATGGAGCTCAGCCCGGTATCCGAGTCCTCGTCGTTGCCAGGACAGCTCTTGGCCAGTCCGCGGGCCTGGTCCACCCACATCTCCGCGGAGCCCTGAGGCCGCGGTTCCCGGGAGGGCCCGCCAGAGCCGACAGTCCCATCGGGGACCACCGTCAACTCCAACGTGTGCAAAGTCTGGAGGAGGCCCTGCAGCTCGCGCTCCTTGCTGTCCCACTGCTGCTGGCTGTAATCCAAGTCCGACTTAACGGCCTCCAGGTCCGTGTTGAGCCGGAGCCCGATGTAGAGGCTGGTGCTGAGCTGCGTCCTGACCCTCTCCTGCTCCAGCAGCAGCTCGCCGTCGAGGCTACCATCAGGCTCCAGGGGCTCCTCCCGCGCGGTGAGCTCCTCCTGGCGCCTCCGCATCCACCTCTGGTTCAGCTCCTCCTGAATCTCGGCTGAGAGGCGCTCCAGCAACTCCTCCTGCTGGGCCCGCTGCTCCTGCAGCCGCAGCAGGTCGTCGCACCGCCGGGCCAGCTCCTCCAGCGCGGCCGCCTGCGCCTCGCCGTCCAGGGGCGCCGCCGCGGCCGCCGCCGCCGCCTCGGGCTCCTCTACCGGGCTGGGCCCGTCGACCTCGATGCCTGCGCCCACCAGGTAGGTGTCCTGCACGTAGTTGACTCCGTGCCGCCTCATGCGGTCCAGGTGCACCTTGGCCTCGTAGCGATCGATCTCGCGATCCAGCTCCCGGAGCCGCTGCACCTGCTGACGAATGGTGTGGTCCTGGGAGAGCACCAGATGCACCAGCGTCTCCATGCGCTCCACGGATGCGCTCTCGGTGGCCCGCGGCGGCGACGAGCAGGACGAGGCGGTGGAAGACGACGTAGACGAACAGGGCGACGACGGCTGCTGCTGGCGCCGCCGGTTGAGCTTGGCCAGCTTGCGGAAGGCCTTGCGCACGACCCGCCGCTGCTTCTCCTGGGTCATGGCCAGGCTGGGCCGCGCGGGGATGCCGCGAACCGAGCAGGGGCGCTCGCGACTGAGCACCACGCGCGCCTCGGCGCTGCGGGGGCCCGCGTTGGGTAGTGACGCCTCGCTGCGCACCAGCACGAAGCGCACATTCTCCTGCTCGTCGCCCCAGGCGGCCCAGAGGCGCAAGATGCGCGTCTTGTTAGGCAGGATGCGCTCAAAGCCCCGCCACTTTTCCACGATGCAATAGCACTGCGGGGGCCCGCACAGCATGCCCTGAGGCAGCGCCTCGTCGTCGTCCTCCTCGTCTTCGTCCAGGAGTTCCCGAAGCTCCTCCCGGCCTGGAGAGTCGCCGGCCGTTCCCCGCCGCCGGCCCCGCCGCTGCCTCCGTCGCCGCCGGCAGCCGTCCTCCAACAGCACCCGAACCACGTCCGAGCAGGTGGTGCGGCGGGAGAGACCAGACACCAGTTTCTCTTCCTGGCAGATCCACACCGATATCTTCTTCTCCGAAGGATCCATGGTGCAGCCGGGACGCAGGTGGCGGGTCGGGCTGGGCCCCAATGGGGCGGCAGCGACGGCGGGCAGCCCGGCAGCTCTGGGACAGTTTAGGAGCCTGGGACCCTCGCCCGGTCCGCACTGGCCCTCCTCCCGGGTTGCGCACCGAACGCAAGCGCCGACGCAGGCTGGAATGGCCGAGGCCGTGCTCGGCCCGGACGGCGCGCTCTCCCTGGGCAGTGCGCCCGGGATCGGGCTCCCGCCGCTTTGGCTCTGCCCAAGGTTCCCGGGGCCTCCAGGTTTTGCTCCTCCCCACGTGGCTCCTCCCCCGCCCGCCCCCAGCGCCCAGATCCGCGGCCGGAGCGCGGGAGGCGCGGCGCCCGGACCCGCCCCTCTCTGCCTCGCAGCGCCCGGGAGCCGAGTCCGCCCCCCTCTCGCGCTGCCCGCCACGGGAATCCCGGCCCCTTTCGCGGACTCGCCGCTCTGTTGCGCTGCCTCTCCCTCGGCCCACTGGCTCCTCTCCTTGCGTGTAGAGCTACCTGTACGCATCTTGACTTTCTCACCTTTCCCGGCGCCCCTTGGTCCCTCAAGGCCGCGTCGTCTGGGGAGTGCCCTTTTCGCAGACGAGGAAACCGAGACGCACAGCGTCTCAACTGGAGACTCTTCTGACCGCATCACTTGACCTCCAGCTGGGAGCAGTAAGCGCTGCCTTTAATGCGGAAGGCCTTACAGCCCTACTCGTCAGGAAGCAATATTTGCATATTTAAGGAGAGGTATGCGGACTGTGCGCTCCGTGGAGATAGGGCTAGGCCTGAGTGGGCTCTCCGGAGGCTGGCTCCAGGTTCCCCGCATGGACAGGGTCGTGGCTCCCCATATTGCGGTGGCTTCTCACAGCCGTATTGGCAGGCGGCGCCTAATTCTAGTGGGATTTCGAGACCCTCGACCCCAGTCGCGAGCTTTTTTCCACGTTCCACCTACGTAGGAGAACACTAGCCATGACCGTGACTATTTCTGGCGTATCCAGTATCCAGATGTAGTCAGGAAGACAGAAGAGCCAAGTTTCCTAGCTCAAGAAGTCCAAGACCACAATGTGAATGAACTTCTTCATCCTCAGATGTTGATGAGGGTGGTCCTTTGCGTGCAAGACTTGGCCTCAGCTTGTCCTTGTAAGCACGGGTCTGATAAGGTCACTCCCTTGCGTCAAGACCTTGGATGACTGCCATTGCCTCCTGAATAAAGTACTTTTATTCATTCACTTGGTAAATATTTATTGAGTACCCACTGGCTCCAGATACTGTGCTAGGACTTTGGTGATGAACAAAGCACAGTCTTGGCCAGCAAGGAGCTCACAATCTAGTGAAGAGCCCCGCTGAGTGGAGTGTTGAACACAGCGGCTTCTGTGTTCTGATAAGGGAGGTATGAGGTGCTAGGGGAAGGCTGGGATAGTATCTACCCAGCCTGGGAGAGCCAAGGAAGACGTTCCCCCCCCCTCCCCCCAGGGAGATAGCATCTTAAGCAAGGCCAAAAGCACCATTTAGGTCAGCCAAAGAAAAAACAGAGGGAGGAGGCAGGTGGCATCCCAGGCAGAAGGAGCCATATGTACACAATGGAGTACTACGTGGCAATGAGAAAGAATGAAATCTGGCCCTTTGTAGCAACGTGGATGGAACTGGAGAGTGTGATGCTAAGTGAAATAAGCCATACACAGAAAGACAGATACCATATGTTTTCACTCTTAGGTGGATCCTGAGAAACTTAACAGAAACCCATGGGGGAGGGGAAGGAAAAAAAAAAAAGAGGTTAGAGTGGGAGAGAGCCAAAGCATAAGAGACTGTTAAAAACTGAGAACAAACTGAGGGTTGATGGGGGGGTGGGAGGGAGGGGAGGGTGGGTGATGGGTATTGAGGAGGGCACCTTTTGGGATGAGCACTGGGTGTTGTATGGAAACCAATTTGACAATAAATTTCATATATTGAAAAAAAAAAAGGAGCCATATGTGCAAAGTCAAGGAATAGAGAGTGTGGTGGTGTGGCTGTTACTCCGGCTACAAGGATCCGAAGTGAGAGTAGTGTCAAAGAATGAGGTTGGATGAGGGGCACCTAGGGGCTTGGTTAAGCAGCCGACTTTGGCTCAGGTCATTCGCTCATGGGTTCGTGAGTTTGGGCCTCCCATCAGTCTCTCTGCTGTCAGCACAGAGCCCTGCTTAGGATCCTATGTCCCCTCCCTCCCTCTGCCCCCCACCCCACCTCTCTCTCTCTCACTCTCTCTCTCTCAAAAATAAATAACATTAAAAAAAATAATGAGGTTGGATGAGTGAACAGGAGTCCATCAGGAAGGGAGGTGAACCTACCATAAGGGTAATGAGAAGCCACAGGGTATGGATTATGAGTTCAGACTGGCGGAACAAAAAAATCTCAACCCTGACACTTAGTAGCTCAGTAAGCTTAGGAAAAGTATTTCAACTCTCTAAGCCTCAGTTTCTTCATCGGTGAAATCATGATAATAACATACCCACCTAATAGGACTGTGATAAGGTTTCGATGCCGAGACGTGGCAAGCCCACGGTGGGTGTTTTATTGGAGGGTTAGAAGCCAGGGGGTGTATTAGTTTTTTATTGCTGTGGAACAAATCGCCATAAATTTAGTGGCTTAAAATAACACGCAGTTATTAGTTTGTAGTTCTGGAAGTCAAAAACCCAGTATAGGATGGCTGGCTTCCCTGCACATAGTCTCCCGAGCCTACTGGCAAAGTGTTGGCTGGGTTGAGCTCTCATCTGGAGGCTCTGGGAAAGAACCCATTTCCAAGCTCACTCACGTTGTCGGTAGAATCCAGTTCCTTGCAGTTGGAGGAGGGAGGTCCCTGTTTCCTTGCTGGCTGTTGGTTGGAGCTCACTGTCCACTCCTGCAAGCCCTCCTTAGGTCCTTTCCACGTGACCCTCTTCATCTTCAGGCCAGCGGCAGCATGTTGAATCCTTGGGAAACCTCCTTGAATTTGAGTCTCTGTGACTTGCCCTTCTACTTGCTGGAGAAAACTCTCTACTTTTAAAGAGCTCACTTCATCAGGTAGATTCACCTGGATCATTTCCCTGTGTTTAAGGTTGACTGATTAGTAGCCTGGACTATATCTGCGGAATTCCTTTTGCTGTGTAACCTAGCATAATCACCAGAGAAACACCAGAGTGATGGAGATCATAGGGCTCTCTTAGACTGCTGCCTACCACAGAACGTAACATGATCTTCTCATTTGAAAAAATCACTCTGTTTGCGTTGGGGGTGACGGTGGGCGGGGGAGGATGAGAGGCAAAAAGGCTCTTTAGAGGATTGTCATACACCTTCATGGAGGAGACGGTGGCCTGCACTGAGTGTAGGCAGGGGCAGTGAGGGGACTGGACAAAATTGAGAACTATCAGAGAGGCAGGGCTATCTCCATCTCCCTAGCATGGTATTGGAGGTCCCTGATAGTCTGGCTCAGCCCATTCCCCCGAGTCCTCACATGTTTGGCTATCCCTTCCTCCTTCCCGCCGGACACGTGATCGTTACAGCTTTGTTCTCAGCCGTAATCCCTACTGGATTTTAAGCTCCACGAGGGTAGCGATCCTACCTGTTCCTGCTCACTTTTGAATCCTCTGCATTTAAAGTACAATGCGTGGCACCTTCTAAGTTTACGCAAGTATCTGTCAGATAAATGGATGAGCAAATGAGTGAGTGGATCCTACATTCTAGCAAGTCAACACCTCACTCATCCAGAACAGCACAGATGTCTTGATGCATCCATGCTTTGGTACATGCTTTCCCTGCTTATGAGGATCCCTCTTAAACAACTGGAGAATGCCTACTTATCCTCCAGAAGCTGTGCTCAAAGATCATACACTCTGGGAATCCTTTCTTTTCTCCTCCAAAAAGAATGGGTTCCTTGCTCTTCTTCTGCCTCTCTTAATATGGCAGAAGTTACATTTTTTAAAATAGCTGTTTATGCCACAAGGCTTGAGAGCTTTCTGTGAGACTGGATGGACTGTCTTGTTTATATTTTGGTCCCCAGTGCCCAGAGAGTGCCTGGCACATAGTGGTGCCTCTATCTTCCTCGATGCTATAAGGAACACTGAAATAAATGATGTCTAAGATATTCTGCTACCCTTAAGGTTAGTATAATTTCTCTCTAGAGGCAGACAGATATGTGGGATCCCTGTTACAGGAATGATACATATGAAATTCCTGCTGGAGTAATTAAAGGGTAATCAAGGGGTTCCGGGAAGGATAAAGAAGGTGGGACCTTAATGAGCAGAGGGAAGGGGTTGAGGGTATCCTTGGAGGGAGAGATCATGTGAGTTAAATTATTAACGTAGGTGTGCATATGGTTGGTTGTATACCAGTGTTTTAGAGTGTGGGTTCTGGAATCATCCTGCTTAGATGAACCTTTCGCCTTTCACCCAGCTATAACTTTTCCAAGTTTTCTTTGTGTGGAAAAAAGAGACAATAATAGAACCTTTCTTATAGAGTTCCCAGGAATACAAAATGAAATGGTGTACAACAATAAAAGATTTAACATTTCATCTAGCAAATGCTCAATGAAACATACCTAGCTTTATCCACAAGTTTTATTGAGTATCTACTCCATGCTCTACCGTGGACTTGGTGTTGAGGACGCAGCAGTGGACTAGACAGGCATGGTCCCTGCCCTTAGAGAGCTCACAGACAGGGCTACTCTGGTATTTGTTCGATTAGAAATGTATTTGGTAGATTACGCTAGGCTGTAGTGACAAACGGAGCCAAACATGTATAATGGCTCAAACATGACAAAGGTTTATTTATCACCGACGTCATAGTCAAAAGCAGGTGTCCTGATTGGTAGGTGGTATTATTCTAGACAATAATATAGGGAGCCTGGTTCCTTCCACTTAATGGATCCAAAAGCCCATAGACTTCATCATCTACATCTGGCCAGAGGAAGAAAAGAGGAGGAGGGGGCCTACCTTCTTCAAGGCCATGGCCGGGAAGTGGAGCACACAACTTCCCCTCACGTCCCAC